GCCCAGGGGCACCAGGCCATTACCTGTCAATGCTTTCTTTTCTCCGAGTGCACCGCACTCCCCTAGGCGCGCAGTAATTCACCAGAAGCCCTTACTCCACTTGCAACCTCTTGCATGTCCCCATGGCAGCTACCTTTTTGTAACCCCCCGTTTCCAAGACTTAGGGGGTCTCCAATGTACCCTCCAAAAGGCCTCGCCTTGCGAGTCCAGCTCCATGAGCTCACTCTTCATCTGTTGGCACTCGGTGTTCTGCCATTTTCCATAATCAGCTGTTAGCCCCTCCACAATCTCCACGGCATCTTCGAAGGCAAACTTCGGTGTGGACAGGAAGGGATTTCGAATATGCTTGTGTGTGAAGCCAAAGTTCGAGACAGCATCCTGTTCGAATTCAACGAGCAGCGGCCAGTTGCCTCCAACCTCTGCGGCACGGGTTTTCAAGGCCCGATGCAAGTTTGCATTCTGCAGCATAGCACGATCACCCATCTCGAACAGAATCAGGTACGAGGTCAATACCTCGTGGATGCCAGCCTCATCTAAAGGCTTCTCCATTGCCAGGGAGTTCAGCTTGTACGAGGTCTGCAGAAGTTTGATCGCCTCATCAAAGATGAGGCGCTCGAGGGTGGCCACCATGGCCACGGCGTCCTGGAGCGCGAGGCCTCGGCCGGCGCGCTGGGATTCGAGGAGGGACTCCACAAGGGCCGGGGCCTTGTCCTGAAGAATGTTCACCTCGTGGACCTCCGAGACATCGGTTTGGTGGCCATGCGGCTCCAGGCCTTTGATGAGCCAGCCGTGCTCCTTGGCAAAGTAGTTATGCACCAAATACCTCACCGCCCGTGGGCCGATGTGGCCGAACTCATTCTTTGGGAGGGCCTGGTACGTCTGCCAGATGCTCCCCTCGATCTTCTCCAGCCCGGACCGGGCACCACGGGCACCGCCACGCAGCACCTCCTGCATGGAGTCCTGCAAAAGCAAGTAAAATTGTCTTTGAAGGTATTTCTGGGCACAAGACACCTGGAAAAGCAAGTAGCTCCACCTAGCGAGTATGTGATCTAGAGCTGCACTCCAAAGAGATGTTCAAAGGAGCTCGCAGAAACACAAGCCCGCCCGCCTGAAGGCACTGCTGTATCTCCTCCATCATCTGCACATGATTACCACGGATGTTCGCACCCGCCGAGGCAGTGCCCAAGATAGCGGTGAGGGCAGTGGCAACAAAGTGAAAGAATGCCTCGAACGGTGCTGTGCTGAATTTGCTTTGTCCATACACATGCTGCACAGCAAGGCGCGCTTCCGTTGAGCGCGTGTCATTCATGGCGGGGTTCAACGCAAAGCAGGCATTCATAGACCAGAAACCCCAGCAGCAACACGGGTGTAAAATGGGGTCATATTATGCTAGGGTGGGATCAACAGATGATGAAGGATCAACAAATTTAGGATAATGCTCAAAACAGTTGAAAAGAATACAAGACATTCGCCTATGATTGAAAGTCTTGCCTGTGCTAGGAGATTTACTGCAAATTGCAGCAGTTTGGGTCGTGTAGAGGCTGCAGATACTGTTAAATTGCAGCATGTTGGCTTGCGTAAGGGGCTGCAAACATCGGCTTGCAGACGCTGTAAATTACAGCGTTGGGAGCTCATCTACTGCTTGCAGATACTGAAATTACAGCAGTTGGGGCTTTGTGGATCTTGCTGCAGCACACCAGCTCTGAATCTCTAGAGAGCTTGCCGATGCGTGTTGAAAATTCTAGCATTCGGAGCTTTGCAAAGACCGTAGACAATCCAATTGCAGCAGCTATGACCCGACTGATGCTCTTTTACCCTCCCTTACGGCAAACATGGTGATGACATGACTTTTTTTGCAAGAGTGGATTGCCTTAAAAACTGGGGGATTGGGAGGGGGACATCCCCCCATTTGCAAACAAACTAATCTGCACAACTCTCGTTGGGGAGGGGACGCAGCCCCTCATTTGCACTTACTGGTGATGACATGATCCTGGGTTTTACCGCAAGCATGGACTGCCTTAAAGCCGCTGGGGTTGGGGGGCGCAGCGTTGTGGATGGCCTCAAAAAGCAGTCGTTTGTTCTTTCTTCCCCTTCTTGTTTTACTGTCTTTCGCTTGTCGCGCAAGTCGTTTCTACAATGGCGTTTTCCTTCTCGACTGGATGCAAGCCGGTTCTTTGCAGCACCCCCAGCAGGCCCTGGGAGGCCTCGGAAGACCTGGAAAGCCTAAAAACTGTATCCGCGGCTATTCTGAATTTGTTAAATGCTCCCTTACAAATTTTTTGTTGAGCCCTATCATGCTGCTTTTGATCCTTCATCCCTTGCCATATCTTTTTTTCGATGCCTCTCCCCTGTTACATGCAGGCAAGTTGCCATGCTGCGAACGAAAAGAATATGAAGGGGTAGAGCTTGCGGCGATCCAGCAGCGCGATGCGCAAGGACCTACCGATATTTCTTGCCTGGAAGCTGAGCCACAGCTCATCAGCTCCTTGTTGCTCTGTAGTCAGTCTACCGCAACATCCGAGCAGCTCTTGCCGAATCAAGGCCCTGCAAAGAACTGGCCTTCTCCGTGACTCTGAGATGTGACAGCTGCCGTTGCCTGCACGTAAGGAAGAAGCCGGCAGAGCCACAGAAAAGTTCCACTGCCGCTTGGCACCCGGCCTAAAAATCACGGACCATCAATTTTTTGTGGGCCCAGTTTGCCTCCTCAGCGGCCTCGCTCTTTGGCGGAGCCTTCAAGCTCGGAGCAGTCTATCGCATGCACAGACGAGTCAACTGGTATCCATCCATGTGTGTACATATGCATGCAGACAGCAGCTGGCACTTGTGCATGCAAGCATACGTCTGAACACATCTACGTGTAGATAAATACATGTAAGAGGGTTCACAGACAACTGTGTCTAAACTTTTGTGCTGTGGGGCTTGGCACGACCAGAACTGTCACTTAGAGGAGCTCAACACCTGCCGGCATGCAAAGCAGTTCAGGCATGTTCTTAAGTCCCAGCCACTGGCTGGGCAGTTTGTGGCGGGTCGTCAGGTTTGGCTGTCGCCTCTCGCGGACAGGGACACGTGAGAGTCTGCGAAAGTGGGGCAGACATCCCAGAAGACAGCCAACCCATATGGCACCAGAGTGCCCTAGCAGGCAGCCATGTAAATTCAAGAAGATCGATTGCTCCCATAATGAAGCTAGACTGCCTCAGAGCTTTTCTGAGGTTCAGCCACGTTTGGAGCCACCTGCAGTGGCTCAGCAACAACAATTGGATCCCGGCTCACAACCTGAAGATACGTTGTTGCAAAGTTTCTCCCAAAGTTTGGGCGTCTCTATCTGCCTCACTCGGGCCGGCCTTCGTGCATAGAAGCGCCGCCGTAAAGTTGCAATTGTAAGTAGGTTGTTCTGGCAATACTACGAAGCACTCCTTTTTGTGTTGATTACTAAGAGGTTTCCAAAAGCAATCTCAGTGAGGGACCAACTCTTGGAGCTTTGCTTCAGCCTCAGCCCGGCCGGCAGCGTTCCCGCCACAGACCTGGAGCTTTCCAGGTGTACACTTTTGGGGGTTCAGGGTGATGCATTGCACTCCCCGACTCTTGCAAGAGTGGCATTCTCACCTTTGCAGCTTAGCCGGCAGAACTATAGAGCAGCACCCAGCAGAAGTTGGAGGAGCAGTCCGTCGTGGCGCGCGCCCGCGCGCGCGCGCGGGTGTGGGTGTGGGCGTGGGCGTGGGCGTGGGCGTGGGCGTGGGCGTGGGCGTGGGGGTGTGGGTGTGGGTGTGGGCGTGGGTGTGTGTGGGTGTGTGGGTGTGTGTGTGGGTGTGTGGGTGTGTGGGTGTGCGGGTGTGTGGGTGCGTGGGTGCGTG